ATTTCCTTAGATTTATATTTACGAAAGTAGAAGACTATAGATTTCTAAACGAATAAAGATTCCTTACCCGTTTTAGATAAGAAAATAGTGACCTTCTGAGATAATATATCTTCTAGTTCACTGCTAGAGACATCGGTCTTCACTCTTATCTCTAGGTCTAGATCGTAATAATGAAGTAGAGGGGCTCTTTTAAAGCGCTTCTTAAGCTCTTAAAAAGCCTTATCTACTTTTAGGGTCCATTCCAGAGAGCCCTTCTTTACGCTATACTTCATTCCTTTTAGTAGGTCTATAATTAGCGCCACCACTCTTAAGAAATTACGGATGAAGCCCCTATAGAAATTAGTAAACTCTAGAAATATCTAGATATCTCTAAATATTTAGGGGGTAGGCTATTCTTAGATGGCTACCACTCTCTAAGGATCTATTGAAACTCCTTCCTCATTAACGATAAAGCCTAGGAATACCACTTCTCTTATATAAAACTCGTATTTACTAAGTTTAATAAAAAGCCGTAATTTTCGGAGTCTTTCGAGCACTTATTTAATATGATCCTCATGTTCTTTCTCTATTCCTTTAGAAACTCGTCCACGTATGCCTAGAAAGTAGCTGGGGCATTCGTCAGCCTAAAAGACATCACCAAGTACTCGAACTACCCATATCTAGTGCGGAATGCTGTTTTCCACTGGTCCTCTACCTTAATGGGGATCCTATGGTAAGTATCTCGTAGATCTAGCTTTATGAAGAGTTTTGCTCCTATTAGGCGATCAAGGATCTTAGATATCAAGGGCAATAAATAACGGTTCTTAATCGTAACCTTATTTAACCCTCTATAGTCCACATAGAGACGAAGTCCTCCGTCTTTCTTTAGGATAAATAGAATGAAAGCCCCAGTAGATGAGATACTTCGTCGAATCCACCCTTTTATTAATGTATTATCGAGATATTTTCTTAGAGCCTCGAGTTCTCTACTACTTAAAGGGTAGATAGGCTCATAGAGTACTATTATATCTAGCGTAAGATTAATTATATACTCTACTCTCGACACTAATGAAATTTAAGTCTCGCTCGGATCTAATACTACGTCGCTATAGCTAACATAAAGAGAAGGTATATCTTCGTCCTTACTCAATGCGAGAGTTCGGAGGCGGGTGAAACACTACCTTACCCGATTCGAGTAAGAAACTCTTTAAGATTTCTCTAAAGATTAATACTATATAATGTAGATTTTATTCTTCTCTTAAATAAGCTCTTACGCTATAATTATATTAATTCGAATTTAGCGATCTAGATCTCTCACTACTTAGATATCATCTCTAAAATTAATGTCGGAATTAATTACTTCGAGCCAACGTATACCGAGTATTATATCGAATCCCTCGATATTCGTAGATAATAAATTAAGTTTAGCTTTAGTAATTCTTCCTCGGTTATTAATGGCCTAAACCTCGAGGCTATAACGACCGTAAATAATAATCTACCGTTTATCCATAGCCTTCCTAAATATATCTAGTGAAACGCCTTTTAAACCAAGCCTAACAACAGTTATCTATGAGATGAAGTCGTCCTATACTTCATAGTCTATAAGGGCTCGTAATCGATACTTCTCGTCCTTTACTCGGACTATTACTTAAATACTCACATAGCGTTACTCCAATGCGCCGTGTCTCGTAGACTAAATGTACTCCAATGCGGTAGCTACGTTTACTACATTGATATCTATTTTTTTATACCCTTTTCAGGGCAATCCCGTACTAGATACCCTTCCTTATGGTAATTATAGCACTTAGGAATAAACGAGGACGTTAATTTTTCTCCCTACTTAGCTTTAAGCTTAGCTAATACGTTTAGCGAACTAAATGTATTTTTTCCCTCCCGATTCGGGTGAGAAGTTCTATTCTTACTTTTTATTATAGCCATCGATGTCTTTTACTTTAGGAGCTTATTTCTTTTTTCTAAAGTATTCTTCTCCTTAGCCTTACCCTTTTATTTATTCGCGAAACGTATCTTATAGCGATAGGCGGCCGTAAGAATAGTATCCTTATTAAGACGTATCTCCTATGGCTCTACCATAACTACGTTACGAATATTAGACTATAGATTATAAAGAAAACATTACATCTTTTACTTAACTTCCGTGAGCCTTAATGCCTCCACCTCGGCCTCTACTTACTCTAGTTTATATAAGTACTAACGAACACTCTATTCTTTTCATTACTTTTTAAACTAAGTAATATAAATAATCTTAAAAGTACGAGTTTAAGAGTCTTTAATGGTGTCTCGAAGAAACGTAAGGAATTTCTCTTAACTAGCGGACACGTTGCGTTATCTATAATATACCTAACGAGGCTCTTTATCTAGCTAGGTTACCGCCGTTTAGATGGCCCGCTTAGCCACCTTAGAGTCTATTAGATCCTAGTAGTAGGACTCGAAATATATCTCGATACTTATAATAAACTTAGTTAAGACCTAGTAACTACTCTTATTAAAATACTTCGGGGGGTCCGCCTTAAAGATTTTCGCGTAGCTAGCTAAATTATCTATAACTAGTCGCTTATTATTCTCACCCGATTTAGATAGGAGACTTCGAGAATATACTATAGTCTCTTATATTAATCTCTATTCTACACTAAGAGTATTTCCTCTCCGTAGATAATAAATTCGATCTATTTATTCTCGCCGTGTTCTTTCTCTTTTAAGCCTAAATAGTTCGGCCTATAATTATTCATCATCTATTTCTTCGAGGTTACTTACGTCCGTAGGCGTAAAAATAAAGTGTCGCGGGTCTACAGGGCCCGTAGTAATCGTAGAGTCTTCATCGATAGTTCTCGACGAGACCTCGGGCGCCCCATTATCTCGGAGCGATGAGGGATTTATTCTCACCTAATTTAGATAGAAACTTACCTTAGTAAGAATAGTTTTTAGAGGTCTCCCTAGAATCATATATAGCTACTACTAGCTCGATAGTACCACTACGTAATAAGTAAGCGTTAAGAATTATTAGGGACCTACGCAACGCAGTAAATACAAAGGAATTAGAGTAGCTAAATGCCTTATTCTATTTACGTAGCTCTATTAACAACGACTCAACGCTTAAGAAAAAGAAAGAGTTCTCTCTCAGCCGATTTAGATAAGAGGAGACTCTTATAGCTTCCTCTCTTTCTGTCACGTGAAAAGGGTAAGGCAGCGTTAACCGATAGCCTTGTGCCTCAACCGTCCTTTACCTTATCCTTTCCTTTTCTTTCTATACCGTTCACCCGATTCGGGTGGAGGGCGTAGAGTACTTAGGGACAACGGTGGGTTCGTGACATTATTTTAACCGCCTAACTAGCTGTTAGACGTCGACTAGCGTTTAAAGCCGTCAATATCCGGATAACTACCTATGATAATTTATACGCTTATAAGTCTCGAATAAATTAGGAAAATACGGGGAGGCGCTTCTATCTAGTAGACTTCTATAAGAAGTGGCTTACACGCGTCTAGGATTATTGTAGGTCTTGTACATCGGCAAATTTTCCCGCGCGACCCTGAGAGCCCTGGGCTGCCCTGGGCTGTCAAGGTAAGTCTGCGTCTTACGCAGCCCATGAGACCGCTGGGCTCGCTGGGCTACTCTAAGAGAGCTCATGGGCTACTCTAAGAGGGCCCTGGGCTAATATAATAATTTATAACTTTACGAATATATAATTATACTAGTCGGTTAAACTAGTACTAATAAAGATTACTATATTATACTAAAATTAAAGTAGATATATATAAAATATAAGGTTTCGAACTAAATCTTAAATTATTAGCTTAATAGCGTTAGTATTCACTAAGATAAAGACTTAGCGAGTTATCCGCTTTTAGTGTAAACCTTATTTCCGAAATAGGAAAGACCTTTTTAAATTTAATAATATTATATAATAAGTATATTATAAAAGTTACTAAAAATAGATAGTCTATAAGAGCTTATAGCCTAGATATAAGAGCTGTGAGCGACTGTGGGCTCCCTGGGCTCCCTGGGCATATAAGAATGCTATGAGTCGCGGGAAAAATTGCTGATGTAGGCGGTGATATAAATGTAATCGACCGGTTAAAACATGAATTTTATAAAGCGAGCGACGTTAATCTAAAGAATATCTAGGAAGATATTTCTACGCTACCACCATCTACTCTAAAGCCGTTCTAAAAGGACTTCTCCTATGGCCGAGCTAGAGAGAACACATAGAGTTACCACTCGAAGAGACACCGAGAACGAAAGCGTATGGATAAGTTTCTCTATATAGAGTTAATCGAAGCGGTTACGCTTAATGAGGCCTAAAATGTCTCCGGGAGATTAGAACGACTTGGTATAAACCTAAAAACGGACGTAGAAGCCTGGGAGGACGAGACGATAAAACTTTCTATCGTTCGGGGAAGATATGTAGAGAAAGTGGAAAAAGAATATTATTCCGAGCGGATAGCCATACAGTTAAAGGGGGAAATATCGACTAAGACGTTGGTCCGCACTAACATCAACACCTAGGTCAGCGACCACTTCGGAATCATAGTTGGCATTAAGGTTCATTGAGCTAAGTAGGATTAGGCATAGTTAGATGGTCATGCAGCAAAAGTCTCTTATATAGGTTCTTAGACAGCTTTTATAGACAAAATTCTTTCTTAGCTCTAAGTTAAGGCTTCGTCGTGCCCGGATCTTACCATATTCCAATATAAGGAACAAGAGTAAAGCGGGGAATCAGTTAAGATCGAGGTGAACGGGGGTAGATATACGGCTCTAAAGTGTATCGCGCCATACCTTCCGTCGCCGAAGCAGTTAAGATGTTCAGGGCTGATCACATGATTCACTGCAGCCATTGTTTGATTTCCACCACCCCGCGATAATCGAGCGAGCTACTATGAACTTCTACTGTACGTCCAGCTCCTCCACACGGAATATCTACATTGCTTTATCTTGGATCGCTGGCAAGATTTCTTTCTGAGGCCTAGTATCCTAGAGAATGGCATCAGCGCCTTCCGCAGAACAAATGGACGTCTGTCTTGAGATCCCTATGCCATCTTGCATGCGCGATTTCATTGTACAGTCATCTACACCACCTCCCAGACTCGGTGGCACGTACATCGATGGTCTTATCGCCAGCTTTGGAGATGCGCATGGCAAAGCAATGGAAGAGGTCGAAAAATGCCGCCTCCTGGTACATGGACCCGATGACATCGTCGTACTGCTTGAGCGCCCTGCTACTGATCATGACTACAGCGCATCATTGGCAGAGTTTGTTTCGTGTTCGGAAACGCTTCGCACCGTGGACGAATTAATCCGCTTTGCGACACGAGCTCAGCGCAATATCCAGAATGTTAGTGTCGTCGATGTCTTCTCGCTTAAGCCTCACGGGACTAACGCTCCTTCGGATGACGAATGCCATGATCTTGCAAAAGAAATCTTACAGGCCAAGAAGCCCAAAGTAATCATCGGATGCATAGGAGAAATCCGGCAATGCCACTGGCTCTCCTGCCTCAATGCCGGAAAGATTATAGGGGTTCTATGTACGAAATATATCGACTTAGGGGTGAATGGACATTCGGCTCTCTTCGTCCGGTCATTTCATCCCGGCTACTGCATCAACAGAGTGAACTGGTGTGTTGAATCTCGCATCAAACTGGTCTACGACTTCGTTTTTGCATTCCGGGCCATTACGGGGCCAGTTCGACACCCTTCCTGGTTATTATCGATCTTAAGTCTTCGAGCAAAGCAGTGGGTATTGTCTTCTAGAGTTGTTCTCCTACGCTGATTCCGTCTACAGGTCGAACGAACGACCTAGCAGAGGCGACGCTCTCGTTGATTTACTCTTTAACCTCCGACGCATCCACCGAATTTCAAGTAAGGATACCACCGTCCTCGAAGCGCGAAAGGAAGGAGTATACTATGCAGTTATAGTCGAAGAGATCTTCGACCTCCTTTGGACTTTGTAAGTAGTGTCTAGGAAGAAACAAGCTCTTATCATTTCGAAAGCTGTTCGCGCCTGGCAGCTACTGTTCCCAAGGGACTCCTTACAAAATTACTTCACGGCGTAACTTGTGGGGCTGGGTCACCGATAGGACTATTTCACGGATGATTAACAAATCCTGACTTGCGGAGTGAAGGAATTGCAGCTTCGTCCCCTCAAACCTGAAATTCAGACTAGATTGTCAGGAACACAGTGGGAGGATGAAGTTCCTGGGCTCGAAAATGTTGGCAAAGCATACCTTGCATTACGATATAGCGCCGGAAATATACCGGGGGCGGTGCTTCTCTTCAAAAAGGCCCGGTCGGAGAATCCGGACTTTATTGACACAGTACGAAACCTAGTCGAGACCATCCGGAAGGGTTGGACGAATCTTTAAGAGTTCGTGGCACTGGTATCGGCGTTACCAACGGTTCTTGAGGGTGGCCCAGGATTATTCCCAGAGGAAGAGATTTCCGGTGAGTAGTCAATTCTCCGTCGCCGTGACGCACGGACGCGTGTTCAGGGACTGTTCGAGCATATAGTGCCGACTGCCACCGACATGATGAAAAGAATTGAGACAATGAAGAAGCTGGCTCGAAAGAGGTTGCCTAGCAGCGTTGTGGATACTACGAAGCATGTCTCTGAGATCGACGAACTCTACGAACTTATCGAGCTCATTCGCGAAGATGTCGGAGCCGCCGAGAATAATCTAAGAGAAAGTCTCTGGATCATCGCTGCTCTTCGTATATCACTAGCGGGTGTTTGTGGTCTTATTGAGAAGGAGGGAGCTTCGCCATCGGATCCGCTAGCCCTCAAGCGGGACAGGAGACTGAAAGAAATTTATCAATAAGACATTCTGTCGGCAGCCAAGCCCAAGAAGTCCTTTGGACGACATTGAGACCATTGATTCTACTATAGACTTGGACCAAGAAATCTAAAGGATTCTCCGACGAGAGCAGTTAGCTAGACGTAGTCGGGACGGCTTGAATATAGTATCTCTAAGAGAGGTGAAGATAGATGAAAGGTCCAGGCAAGATTCGCCTAACCCTGTGAGTAACGTGCTATGGGTGTCTGAAATGTAACTCGTTAAATTCTGCACAACGGCGGATCAAGTGGCGGAGGAAGTCCTAAAAGCGAATAATATTAGGCTTAAGAGCGGAAGGTGGCGACATGTGGGCTGTGCTGGGACACACTCCGGCTCCGGATCTAGAATGATCTGGTGCAACGGTGTGCCGACTCATCTGATAGAGGGAGAATCGGAATCCTATAGGCCTCGTTTTGGGACCCAGAGGGTGCCGAAGTAGATCCTCATCAAGTTGTGGAATCTCCTTTGCCGGCTGCTGGGATCGAGATGAGTATTGGTTTTCTTTCCTCTTCAATGCTTCAGCCCTTCAGTTTCTCAATCCTCGCTGATTGCAAAGATGCGTCCGTCAAGAAAGCGGCATTCATGAAATAGGATATGTTGGGGACTCGTAGGGTCATAGTAGGTAGAAATAGGCAGCAGCATTGTAGAATTCCCCATGGACATACTCTCTTTTATAGGAGTGATCAACGAAACATGGAGACTAGTAGGTTAGATCTAATTCGCTGGTTAATGGAGTACCTGGCATACCATCGCATTGGCCGCGCCAAAATCTGACGAAACGGACTTTTTGTGAGCGCTCATTCTCTTGTCTCAGTGCTCAGACCCGATATCGGGGCTACGCCCTGATTGGCTAGGCTATGAGCTAAAGCGCCGGCCAATCACAAAATTCAAAGAATGTTGCGATAAACGAGTCTAAGGCCCGATACGTGAAAATGGCTTAATTTGCGTTCGCTACGTAATATTTAAATTACACCCGCCAATTTTGTATATTATGAAGTATTGAAGTAAAGAGATAGTCGTATATATTTTTTTAATACTATCTAAAGCTTTCTATTTATCTAATAAGATTCCTTTTTTTTAGATATTATTAAGTAGTCTATTAATATATAAAGAAGATAATTTTAAAACTTTTTAATTCTCTTTAGTGTGAGATCTCGAATCTCTTTAAGAAGATTATAAACTACTTATACGATAATTTCTATCGTAGAAGGCTAATATAACGTTAATTAAGAAGTACTAAGTATATATAAGTACGTTAGAATAAGAGAGAATTAAGATTATCTTTAATAGATCTAGATCGAGATGAATCTATGAAACACTACTCTCGACTATTATCTTTATTATTCTTTCTATCTTTAGACGTTTAATTCTTCGTTATTTTTATTCGGAGAACTTAGAGAACTATCTAATGTATAGATAGTAAGGCTCATATAGATCGTAAACCTTATAGGTAGGTAAGTGACTTTTAAAGAACTTGAAGATAACTATTTACCTAGGGAGGGTAAAGGTCTTTATATAGATAATGAGTGTCCACAGTTAAGACCCTTAAAATGTTGATTTTAAATCAACATTAGTAAGCACGACTAATCATTTAATAGAGTGCGAAATTAATATCGCACTAGTCACGTGATTTCATAGACCCTAGGTCTAAATATAAACTTAAACTTCGTATTTAATTACGTAACTAAAGGTTTAATATAAACTTTTAGAGGGCGATATTTCACAATTTTATTAATAGCTCTCATTAGTTTATTAAGTTCATTTTAATTTATTTCGCTTAAACCTTTACTATCGAAGTTCATTTACTTAATTTCGATAAGTTAAAGTCGCTTTATATTATCTAACTATTATTACTTATTAATATCTTAAATAGTCTTTAGCGTTATAAGTTAATTTATCTATAGCGTAGTGATCTTTCGGGCGTTCTTTATAGCGTCTTTAAATACTATATTCGCTTCTTAAATAGTGATTATTATTTATTTATTTATCTTAAGTCTACTACTCTAGTTATCTTTAGATTTATTAAATCGATTTAAGTACATTATAATCGTATAAGCTAAGTTCGCTTCGAGCTAACGTCGAATAGCACTACGATCTCGGATAGCTATACGAAGTGAATTAATATTACGATTAAAGCTACGTATCGCGCGGACTAAGTCACTGAGAATTCTAAGTCTAAGAGTTCCGATATCTTATATAATAGCTAGAGTTCGTAATTTAATAAGATAGCGAATATTCGCGATAATCTAAAAGTTATAATCTAATGAGTTTTATTATAAAGACCCTAAGTCTAGATCGTTATCTATATAATCATTAAGATTAATACCGTTCTTAGCTAGTAGATATCTTAATATTAACGGATCTCGATATATATCTAGATTATCGAGTACACTAAGAATTCGACGACTATTATTCATAAACCCGAGAGTTTAATAGTTATTATAAATATTAATTAGAATTAAATATAGATTATTCTTAAGTAGAATTACTAATGTAACGTATATTAAATTATCTTCTCTAAGAATACGACGTTACTAGGCCGTAAACGTAGCCGAATAAATAATATTAATACTTAGATAATCTTTAGTATAATACTTAATTATAGAGTTAATAATCTTATCGTTAGCTTAGCTTTAGTATCGTTTACTCTCATCGATTAGCTAAATATTATTAATTAATACCGTAAAAGAAATAGTATTATTTAATAATAGTAAGAGTATTATAAAGTCTTTAGATAAATAGTTTTAACGAATTCCTTAAAGAAGAGATTTAGTAATAGTAACTTATAAGTAATCGCGAAGACTTTTAGCTACTAAGATTCTAGAGAGTTATTAAATAAGTTCTAATATTGTAATGGGAGAAGTTTTGAGTGGTGGATAGCTTTATGATTGGCTGAGGCGTCGACACTAGACTAAGGTTCTTCTTATATAGTTCTCGGGGGGCTATCATTCATAGAGTTAATTAATTAAGTTACGAATAGAGAGAACTTCCTTTAGTTGAGTGTGCGTGTTAGGAAGAGGCTATACTCACCGCCGTACGAGTTAATGCCCATGGCTAGTAGCCTCGTCCCAGTTCAATATAAAGAAGAACTTTTTATTTATCGGATTCGTATAGAGATTAACTTCTAATATATTATAAAAGTGATAACGACGTTATAGAGATATTAATATATTTTAAATTTTCTTAAATTTCGTCATTCGAATATATTCTAAAGCTATTAAATTAGATAAATTCGATCGTCTTTAATTAAGCTAAAGAGAATATTAATAGTAAAGTAAAAGAAGATCGTTTTTAAGTCGAGAAATCCTCTATTATTAATATTACTCCTAGAACTTTAGTGAGTTTAACGGTACGATTAGAATTATAAAAAGTTAATTTTATTATTACTCTAAACTTAGTTAGATAAGGTCTTAAATAGATATATCTATTATATCGACGAACTCTTTAAATTTCTATTCTTCTATAACTAGATTAATACGAGTTCTTATAACGATATTTAAGTTAGTAATTAAAGTTCCAGTGAAAGAATTATTATTAGAATCTTCTATAAGATCTAGCTTATCTAAAGAATATAGCTTTAGCGACTTTAGCGATATCGAAGAAGAATTAAGAGACTTTCTCGCTTCTCGTTTTCGCTTTCGAATTATCGCTAGATTAGTTTCTAACTATAGTAGAGCTCTCGATATCGAAGGCTTAGAAAGAGAAGTAGCTAAAGTCGAAGTAACATTATTAAATAAAGATAAATCGAACTATAAAATCTAATTAATATTAAGCTAAATATCTACTTTATCTAGGATCTATAAAGCCGAAAGATCTCTTAGAGTAATGATTTAATCTCGTTCATTTCGTTCATTAATAAATCGTATTATACTAAGTATATTTAATATAGTAATTAATCTAATTTTAGAACCGCCTTATTTAGGGTTCTTAAGCCGTATAAGAGTTTCGTACTATACTATTCGAAGTATAATAATAGTATTAATATTCTTATTACGAGTAAAGTTAATTAGTTTACGAATAGTATCTCACTATAACTTTATTAAGAAAAGATAGCGTAGATATATATCGAAAAAGCTATCACTAAGTTTCTTTCGAGTATTATTAATTACTACGTTAGTAAGAACTTAATAATCTTAATAACGACGAGAAATAATCTATATATTATCGAATAGTTAAGAGCGTATAGAATTTACTTAAACTAAACTTCGAAACCGAGAAATATCTTAAAGTATAGATACGATTATATCGATTATAGCTTATATAGTATTAACTCTTTTTATAATTATATCGAAAAGATTAGAAAGATAAGTAACTATAAGTGAACTAAATATAAATAATAAGAATTAAAGTAATTATTAATTAATTTAGACTATACTTCTAGTTATATTTAATTAGAGAGTATAAATATTTTATATAAGATTAGTTAATTAATTAAACTATAATTACTATAATTATTACTACTATTAAGATTAAGTATATAGACGATTTAAGAATAACTCGTCTAGTGATTCATTATTAGATAGCTCACTGTAGAATATAATAAGAGTATTATATAAAACGAAGTTATTAGTATAGCGTAAAAGTATAAAACGAAGTTATTAGTATAGCGTAAAAGTATAAGAAAGAATATATTAAACTATAAGAGATAATAAAGAATAGATTTAATAAATAGAAGAGAAAAGATATTTATAGAAGAGACTCTATAATATATATCTATAGAGAACTTATATATTATTATTAGTAAAGCGATATTACTAATAGATAATACTTTTAGTAATAGATTAATTAAGTAATAGTAAATAGAGAAGTAATATATAAAAATAAGTAGTGAAGAATATATAATAGATATAGTAAAGTAAATCTTTTATAGATTTAAATTAACTTAGATCTATAAAAGATTAGATTTACTCTTCGCTCGTTATCGATCTATCTTTTAATAGTACCGCTAGAGAACTATATAAACTACCGTTATCGCTATTAATTAG